TGATCCTTCTCAACGACAAACAATAAAATACATTGTTAATACGTTTTAAATATTTCATGCAAAAATGATAGAGAGCCAAAGAAAAAAAGACTTGAAATGATTAGGTTGAAAAAATATTTGTAAAAAATCTAGGATATGAACATCCCAATTCTAGATATTATAGCAGATCATTAAATTCCATATTATAATCAATTACTTCAGGTATTCAATATTTTATAGTTTTTTTTTTTAAATTAAAATTTATATAAAATATATATTGAATTAACAGTAAACAGTACACTATTAGATTTTGATCTATTCTCAAATGACAAATTTTGATATAATGGACAGCAAGTAAGATTAATATACAGTAATTTATTGAATATTTACTAATAATAATTATTTATTTAAGAAATAGTTATCTGTAAACAATTTAAAAACTCTTGCCATGGTTTAAGTGCAGAACATTCCAAAAAAAAAAAATTCCTTATATGAATTTTATATGTATTTTTTTATAATAGCCAGATGATTTTAATTCCAAATTTTGATTTTCATTCTGTATTTTATCATGGAAAGAAAATGTCTTAATAATTTAAAGCTAGGATTTTATTATTTATAATTCACTAGAAATAATTGAGATTTGTTTGTATATCTGCAATCATAATAGTGGTAAAAGTGATAAATGTGTATTGTATAAATGAATATTTATTTATTATTTGTTTTTTATTATTTTATTTTTATTATTATTATTTTTTACTTATTTATTCATTATAATCACCAATCATACAATGTTCACACCGATAATTCTTAAATAATAAATTATCTTCAGGATCAAAAAATGTACATGCGGCAGCTTTCTACTAAATTTAGGAAGTATTATCTAAACGTATTAATTTTTTTGGTTTCTCTTTATTATTACTATTATTCATATTATTATTATTGATATTACCATTATTATTGATACTATCATTATTATTGAAAATACACTATTATTAGTTGCGTTGAATGATGTTAATGAGTTTTCCATTTATACTATTGAGAAAATTAGCACATCACCACATGGCTTTGCCTCAATGGATCTATTCTTTTTATTATTATTCATCTTCATTCTTTCTTTTAAGAGATTGATTAATAGCTGCTATTCATCAATATACTTTTTATTATATTATTATTTATTATAAGAAAACTTTATAAAAAAACTCCGTGATGTTATTATAATCGATTTTTCCTAATGAAAATTTATAATGTCATTGTTTGATGATTCCATAATATTGACTTATAAAGGATTAAAGAAGCTAAATTTTTATTATAATAAGTCTTACTAATATAGATAAGCAAAGAGAACATTACACTTTGTATTATAAAACCAGTTTTTGATAGAATTGATTCAGCCATGCTTTAACTTTCTTCTTCGGGTAATGGGCTATATTCTTCTGGTTAAATTTCGATATTCAAATTGATTGCTATTATTATTATTTTTTCTATCCATTTTCTTATTTATTGACTAATTGAGTAATATTATTATGTAGGCATTTTTTATTATTTACCTTTAGTATAGAGAAACTTCTTCTATCCGAGACCCAGAATAGATGTCTAAAACTTACTTATAAATTGTATTGAATAATTAACTAATTCTAATTTCTCTGGAACCTTTAAATTGTTATAGTACATCAGGAAACTTTATTAGGCGAAAATTTGCGCAAATTTTTATCTATATTTTTTTCCGTTTTTCAACTTCGCTCGCAATTTGCGAGGTAAAGAGCGATTTTATACTAATATGTTTCTAATATAGAAAGAAAGGCCTGGTTCTTGGCTACAAAACAATCCATGTTTCATTCCGGTAGCATCAATATTCGTGGAGTTATTCATGTTTAAAATTGAACGTCCGTGAAAAAATCGTGTGAAAATTTGCGGAAATTTGCGCAAATATCGTGAAAAATTGCAAAATATTTTCGCGCAATTTTTCACAAATTTTCGCACGTTTTTTCACGGACGTCCGAATTTAAACACGAATAACTCCACGAATATTGACGCTATCAACATGAAACACATATCATTTTGTAGCCAAGAACCAGTCCTTTCTTTCTATCTTAGAAACATAGTAGAAAATCGCTCTATATCTCGTAGACCGCGAACAAAGTTGAAAAACGAAAAAATATAGATAAAAATTTGCGCAAATTTTCGCCTAATAAAGTTTCCAGATGTAGCCTGACATATCATATCTAGTAGAATGAACTTGAGAATTTCCTCCGTACAAAAGAAAGTAAATTTTAATATCAAAGCAAAAATAGATCTATAATCTGATCTACCTTCCGTCACGAAAATAAGGGTAAAAATTACAGTACTTCTTTGGATAAAAAGCTTAATTTGAAATTGTCAGAATTTTCAAACTTTTTAATAATCCATTCTTATTATTATATATAAAATTTTAAAGATGTTAAAAATCTTTTTATCAATTAAATGCTAGTAATTATCAATTACACATTATTTTCATAATTATTAATCAATTTTTACATATATATATTTATTTAATTGAGTGGTTTTATAAAGAAGAGGAAATAAAAAATTTAGGGATTACGTATTAAACTTATGAAAAAGGCGAGACAAACATCGCTATTTATAATAAAAATTATGTATTAATGTTAATGAAGAATACGAGATCAATTTTAAATATTCCAAATAATATTCCAAATTGATTTGATTATTGTATTGAATAAACAAATAAAATATTATTTGAAATATTATTATGTTTGAATATTTAAATATTATGTACTAAAAATCAACGGTATATAAAATTTATGCAAAATTTTAGATAACAATTTTGTTAACAAAAAAAAATTTAATATCGTTTGATAAGCTTTGATATATGATTTTATTAAGTTTATTCATTCATATTAAAATTAATTTTATCGTTAAAATTAAAATTAATCATTTCGTTTCTTTATTAATTCGATACAACATTGAATTTGACAATAAAATTAAACTAATTTGACTTTAAAGTTAATTAAAAAATAATTGATGGATCATCAGGAACAATATGAAACAGAATAATCGAAATCTTTTAAAGTATATAATCACTATGGCCTAGGTGAATAACATTCACATATTCCAATTAATAGTTATCAATGGAATTATCAGTTGATAAATAATAAAAAAGAACGAGAATTAGATTTCATGATATGAGCACATGGAATAATTGATGAATTTTTTTGCTAGTAGAAAAAGTCATATAACTCTTGCTTGGTCGTTGTTGCTTCGTTACTCTCGTAATTTATTCTTTGATTCATCATAAATAAATAATTTATAGATATCTTTCATATTGATGTACTATTGGGAATCAAAGAATCACCACGTGGTGTTTGCATTATTTTTTGTACGAGATTAATTAATATACTTTTATTATTTTATTATTTTATTATTTAGATCAATACAAAGCAAACTTTATAAAAAACTTGGTGATGTGCATACACTTTCCGGGCTTCTGATTTTCCCAATACAATAATTATTTTTATATTTGGTAATTTAATAAAGAGTTATTATCTAATATTAATAATAGATTATCTTATAATTGATTGTGTACAAGAATGTGATAAAGAGATTGAAAATAAGGTAAAATGGTTTATTACGTAATATGTGTATACATTTAATAAATTTCATTATAATTTGATTTACATATCAAATAATGTTGTGGTATCATTATTTTGGCTGAAATTTTTTTTTAAGATTTTCATGGTGCTTTATTTGATAAATTGTCAAAAAAATTTAATGCATATAAAAGAAGATGGTACAAGAAAGTAGAAAATGGTTCAATAAAAAGTGCGTTTGAAAACAATTATTTCACACGCAACTTTTAATGAAAAGATTGGGAATATGGAAAATGGTACGATTTTTGTTTGTCTGCATATGCAAGTGACTTGCTCAAAAAAATATAAAGACGGAATAATTTAAAACTAAACTCCTAGTAAATATGTAAATTATTTCTAATTCACCTATCAATCGGAGTAAATCGGTATCTGCAGTTATTTTATACAAATTTTTTGCCCCTATTAAAAAATTATTCCGAAAAAGTTATATTTGATATTGATCTGCAAAAATTTGTTAAAATTACGTAATTTTAAGAAAATTTCATCTTTTTTTTTTTGGTTTTTTTTTGTCAAATAACTCCACAGAAACAAAATTTGAAACTTTAAAAATATCTTCCCGCCCTTAAATTATGAAAATTATTTTATTTTCAAATTATTCAGTAAAAATTTTTATTAATTAGTGCTCCGATTGATAGGCGGATCAGCAATTAAGTATTTCATAATTCTCAAAAATTATATATATATACAGTACAGTAATGAAAAAATTTTAATAGAATGACAAAAAATTGTAGAACGCGAAACAAAAAGTCATATGAAATAAACAAAAAAATTTCAACCAGCCAAGTCATGTTTGGACCTCCGCTTCCATATCCTACATTTACCATATCAAATAATTGCATATCTTCATGTGTAACACATTCATCTCCAAATAATATTTTAATATTTGATGCAAACTTTTTCATTCACTGATTCTCTTTGGAATTTTCCTAAACCCAAATATATGAGTCATAACTTTTTTGAAGATTTTTAATGAACGTTATAAAATTTTTCTTCTAAAAATAAATTGATAATTATTGGTTTCAAGTAATAGATTTCACGTTTGTTTTTTTTTTTAATTTCGCCAAATATTTGTTTTTACATGTATATATATTTAGTTTAATTATAAAATAAAAAAATTAAAGAATTAATTATTTTATTTTAAATATGAATTATAATTGAATGCATCAAAATTCATTACGAATTGAAAATCATTTGGCGTAATATCGGAATTTATTCCTACTTTCCCCTTTTCTCTACTTTTTGCAGTATTATTTCTATTTTTGGTTCTTTAAAATTGATTAAAACTCTATTTTGCTAACGGAACGGACCGATCATCTATCGAAAATAAAAGTCCTCTTCCTAGAAACTACATTTGAAATTTGACAAATTAATTCAATTATGTCTAAACAACTATCAAATCGCGGTATATCTTATCAAGTTATTGAACAACCGAAAGATAATAACTTTGATTTCATTTATGAAACTGGCGAAACTGGTGTTAAAATGAATTATGGGACTAGAAAAATTCAACGAAATGCGACAGCGAATCAAAAGATCGTGCTTCTTACTAATGTTCCGTTCCCTCCAGGATTAACTGAAGAGGATCTAATAAAACCTAGAAATAAAAATTGTGATAAAAGGAAAGTACCAAATAAATTCTTTATATATAGAAAATGGTACGCCATGTGTTTGGAGAGAGAAGGACAGAAAAATGATCAAACGTCAATTTCTCCTTATATTTCTGAACAATGGAGTAAGGAACCTCAAGATGTTAAGGATTATTATCATGAATTGTCTAGACGTGCAAGTAAATTGTTCAAAGAAAGATATGGAAAAGACGGAATACCAAGTAAATATGTATATTAGAAATTAATAATTCCTTATTGTATTTCATAATGATTGTTTTCTTAACTTCAATGTTCTCAAAATTTTATAGACAAAATACAAAAAAATTATGAGAACAACACCAAAAAAGATGGCGAACCACGTAACGAAGAATTATCTCATTCTTCAGAACAATTTGAGATGGAAAATGCGTATGATTATTATCTTACAAATAATAATAATATGAACCATGAGAATAATAACATATATAATCCAAATAAATTTATTTATTTAAATAATTATATACTATGTCCTTCAGGATTTACTGACGATACCACTGTGTTCGAAGGACAAGTAAATGATAGTCATCTGAGTATAGATTCTTTGATGAAGGACAATTAGGACAAATAATTGAATATAATTAAATTATTAAAAGATGAAACAAGATAATGTGATATGACTTTTATAAGTTTTTTAAGCTCTTTATTTATTTATTTATCTATTTATTTATTTATTTATTTATATTATTTATATGATTCTATTATTACCAATAAGATGATCATTTCACTCAATTTTCTATAATTTTCTATCTTTATGTTACAAATTTAGACAAATATAAATAAATATATAAATATGTAAATAAATATAAATTATCGGATATAATATACATTGCATCATTTAAGTGAAATGACTTCTAATATTTTTACTACTCCTTTGTGTTGGTTTAGCTGAAAAGGATTTGTAAATCTAATAAGAAAAATACATGCATAACCTCCAATAACATTGATTCGCACATTTTTCTCTCCCTGTGTGAATATAATTATTTATGTTATTAATTGAATTTTGAGTATTTAATATTATTATTTTCGCATGATATGCGTTTTTATATCTATTTGTAATTGCGTTTTACCTGATCTGGGTTCTCTTGCTTATGTCCAGAATGTCATAGTGGATTTTATTTATATGGAATTGCAGTTTAAACAATGTTTACAGTTTTTATTAAAAAAACAAAATCATGTTGATGATAATGAATAATTGTTATATAAGCTAATTTTTCTTTTTTGTAATTGTTTAGGTTTTTGGTGTGGTGCATTATTTTAATATTATTTGTTAAGAAATCTATTCTTAGATTTCAATTTATACTACATAAGAATATTTCACATTTATCTGAGATTTAATTTGAAAAGGAAACTATAATAATAATATGATGCCACTATAAAGGTCGATAATATCATTTTGAAATTCTCTTATTGGTGCCATATTAAGAAAATAATAATATAAGAGATCTGAAATTATTTGCTGGATTTTCTCAAAAAATACTTCAAATAATAGCAAAATATAACAAAAAACCCAAATTCAAGTTTATTTTCTTTGCTCTCCAATTGATTTATTTTTATACCAAATTATTAACTACGAAAGTAATTTACATTAATTTATAATACTATATTCTGTTTTTTTGTTTGTTTGTTTTTCTTTTAATTTATACTTTTAAAGTATAAATAAAAGTATAAATACATTCCACAACAATAAAATTTATTCTTGAAATAAGAAATAAAATATAGTATTAAGCAAAAATTCAATAGGTTGGTTATTTGCTGAATATTTGTCCATTTTTATATGTTTCAAAGAATAATTATTTTACACATTTCTTATTATTGATTTTGTTGTGTTGTTAATTTATCATAACTATAATAGTTATCAATTCTAATATCTATAGACTAAGATATCAGGTAAGCTGATTTTTATTGAAGTAGGAAGTTATTATTTCAACTTTTTTTTTGCTAAAATATTATTCACATTTGAAGTATTAAATGAAGATGACATTTAAATTTATATTTAATTTGAGTACTTTTATATATATATCTATATTCTTTTGAGGTGATCAGTGTTAAAAGTTTACACATATTTTATTTTTTCATACTCTTATGTGTTCTTGAATCTTCTGTCAGTCTTCCATGATGAGGAGGAATGGTCCTTTCTAAATTGAAAAACATGAAATCTCAATCCTTTGCTTAGAGAATAATTATTTGTCTTTATATTTTTAAGTTTTGAATTTTACTTTAATATATTAGAATTAATGTTCTTTCTTTAAATAAATATAATTAGACAAATCAAATATTTTATATAATGTCTGAATTAATATTAAGCAGGTTAGCTACTATATGGTAAGACATGATCTAGTTATCCATCTAAATTTTTATTCTTTATATAGAGATAGCAATAATTATTACAATATAAATCTAAATAAGTGGATTACTTTTTTTAATAGAACAAATTTATCTTTCTGTGTTTTATTTATTTTTAATTTTTTATCAGTTTTTTTTTTAAAAATTTTGTGCTAAATTCTAGAAAAATAATCTTACTTTTATTAAGTAATGTATTTTCCTTTTAAGAAATTTTTAAAGATTTAAACTCTTTTTTTCTATAAATTCATAATATTGTATAAATTAAGTTTGAAAGCTAAAAAAAAAAAAAGTCTGGAAATTTATATGCTCCAGAAGTTGATGATGATAAATTCTGACATGACATAAAATTTACAAAATAGATGTAAAATTTGATATAATCACATGTATGATTCAATTTTTTCATGAATAAATAAGACTCAAAAAATGAAATATCTTTAAATCCAATACTTAAAAAATATAGATTTAATAAATTCATAAATTAACAAGAAACTTTAGTAGTAGTCATTTTAAATAGATTATTTATAATTTATAATTTGAACTTCAATAAATAGATAATCCAATTTATAAAATTTATAAGTAAATATAAAAAGATAGATATATTATCTAAAACAAATGTAATAATGAAAAAAAAATAAACATTGATGCATACAAAAATTATCCATATGAAAATAATATGAACTTATGTTTTATTGATAAATTACCCCTAATTATTCACTTATAATATTGAAGATTAATAAATTTAAAAATATATAATATAGAAAACATCTCAATTCAACTAGTTAATAAAATTTATTAAAGAACCATCATTTATCATTTATATTGAGACATTTAAGCAGACAGTTATAAACAAAAATTTTCAAGCTTGAAATATCAGGAATAAATTTCTTTAAAAATTAATCATATCATATCTTGTTTGCTTAATAAAAACAAAAAATTTAAAATTCTAAATATTTTAAATTTTACTAAAAAGAGTTATAATTTGCATGAATATATCAATTAAATGTTACAAGTATTTTTTAGAAATATAAAATTGATTTTTAAATAATATAATGAAATTCTGATTTAAAAAGTAATTTATAGGAAAGTTATCAAGTTAATAATTTAAAATCTAAAATTTACCTTAAATCCATAGTGTTTTTGAGAAGAATTATTGATTTATATTCAAAAAAAAATAAGAGAAATTAACTAACAATATAATCTACAATCATATAAATAGAATTGTTACATTTTTTTTTCAGGAAAAATTCAAAAGACAATTTTTGACGAAGCTTATAGTTAGGAAAAATTAATTGATCATCAAATTTACCAGAGCATCTGAAGTAGCTTCTGTATCTTTAGTTGGCATCAGTCTTACGAATTAATTTTATCAGTATGACTAATTCAATAAAATTTAATTTTGTGCAGAAATTATAAATAGAAAATTACTAAAAATATTTTTAATTTTAAAACTAAGCAACTTAAAAACAAAGTTATATAATCAAAATCAAAGTATTTATTTTGAATATAATAGATAAAGATGAAAACCTCCCAAACAACTAAAGAATATATTACATATATAAATGGTTTATATTCAACCTTTATTTATCTTGAATCAGAAAAAGAGGCAATGGAGAAGAAAGTGATCCAATGCACAAAGACAGTCATTTTAAATAACTATTCATAATTATAATCTATAATTTGAACTTCAATAAATAGATTGTTCAATTTATAAAATTTGTAAGTAAACATACAACAATAGATATATTATAACAAGCACAATATTAAAAAAAAATAAAAATTAATGGGTACAAAAATTATCCATATGGAAATAATATATATATAATTTATTGATCAAAATTAACGTATTACAATTAAAATTTAATTTATGATTTTGACTAAAAATAAAGATCCAAAGTTTCATGGTATTAAGAGTCACAAGAAAAGGAGGTTATTTGTTTAAATAAATCAAAAATAGGCAATAATTATAATAATTATGATTCATATTTTATTAATAAATTACCTCTACTTATTTGTTTATAATATTTGAAAGAGAATAACCTTAAAAATATAATACAGAAAAATTTACCTCGATTCAACTAGTTAATAAAATTCATTAAAGAAGTATATTAAACAAAAGTTTCAAAAGTTTTCAAGCTTCTTTGAAATATCAGAAATAAAAACTTACTTTAAATTAATCGCAGCATGTCATTCCAGGCAAGGTATCTTACATTTGCTTAATAAACAAAAAAATTTAATATTCTAAGTATTCTAAAATTTACTAAATAGAAAAGGCCAGGTATCTTGCATTTGTTTACTAATTACAAAAAATTTAATATTATAAAAATTTACTAAAATTGAAAAAGAATCATAATTTGCGTGAATTAATCAGAGATATAAATTTAGAAAATCCAATGAAAGATTATCTATTTCTACAAGTTTATAATATGGAATCTAATACCAACCTTACCCATAGTATTTTAAGCATTCAAAAAATATGTAAAATAAGATCTAATTAATTAATTAACAATAAAATCTACATATACTGTAAATCAAAAAGAATTAAAAAAATTCAAAAGATAATTTTTAACAAAGCTTTAATTAACTATTAAGAAAAAATAAGCATTGTAAATAGCTTCTGTATCTTTAGTGAGCATCAATCAAGCCAGGTAAATTTATTTTAGTAGTGTGACAATTACAATGGAACCTTTTTTACAAAGAAATTATAAATATAATATATAAATAGAATATTACTTTTACAAAATTATATTAATATAATCAACAATAATAATGAAAATCAAAGAATTTCTTTATAGATAAATATGAAAACCTTATATTGAAAAAGAATATATTACATATATAAATAGTTAGCAGTATTCTAATTATTGTAATAATGTATCTCATTCATATTTTTTTGTTTAAGTTATATGAAATCAAAGAATGTGTAAGAACTAAAGATGTCCACTTGACCTATTCAAATATAAATTTTTTATTATTTTTTAGTAAAATATAAGGAATATTCACCACATCAAAGTATAAATACATATAACATTTATTCATACACAGTAATTTATCAACCTTAAAATAGAATTATAGCACTTAATTTAAAACTCAACAAAAATAAATTCTTTGCTAATTTATATTTATTTCTATAAATAATTTTTTTCTTTAAAAGTCAAATAATCTCATCTCATACCAAAAATGATGAAAATCAAATATAATTAAAGTAACAGAGACTAATATATCATATAACAATTCCTATAAATATTACCAAAGAGTGTTAGTGTTATTCAATTTCATTAAAAAATCATATATT